GTAAAAGGGTCTTTGTTTTAAGTTTGGCTGAGATGTAGGTAATTTACAGGATACACTTTAATAAATGTGGGCAAACATCAGGGTCCGCACTAGAGAATCTAACCAGTAACCTTGCTGTAAGGTAAGAGCACCAACTAATCTTCCGACCCAACAACAGACATATTTGTCAACAAAATCTAGTGTGACACTAGATTGCTGGTGACTGGATCACAACTAACAACAACTGAATGTCATTTTGAAACAGAGACAGCGACCGAGTCCACATCAAGCCATGCAGCTTATAAGAATACTTCATCTCAACCAGTTGTTCTCCTCCATAAACCAAAGTTACAGTGAAAACCACAACCAGATTCCACCATGTGTGAGGGATAGGAAATTAGAAAGAACAGAATCAATGAAACAGGATGGGAACAACAATAGAATGCAACGCCGAGGAAAACACGTCTGTATAATTATACTTTACTGCCATAAATCTGACTCTGTACAAGACACACCCTTAGTACCAGTGGTTGATTGGTGAGACTTCACGAGCCAACAGCCGTGAGACGCTGGTTCAATTTAGATACAGGACAAAAATAAGGTTTGCCTGTTCAACCTAAACTTGCACTTTTTTGTCCTATAATGCGAGCATGTGGGGGTAAGCATCTACTGCTTTTACAACAATAGTTGGCGATATGTCTAGTGTCATTTGTGTTTGGCAAGATAGCAGATGCTGTCTAACCCAGTGGTTACCAAACATTTTCAGCCCCCGCCCCCCTGTGTCTTTGCTAGAATGAATATGTACAAATGAACAGCAGTCATTGGATTATTGGACCAGGAATTAGCCACATGGTACAATAAGGTTCAGCATCAATTCTAAAACCAAACACAGCGGAATGTGAGATTTAGAACAGGTAAAATGAACCACTAAGTGACTCACATAATGGAAATCAAATTCCCCAATATACCACTCAAGGAAGTTAAAGTACCACCAATGGTATCTGTACCATAGTTTGAGAACCTTTCTGATTGATCAGAAAGAATTACCGATTCAGCGATGAACCACACAATGTTTGTTCATCTACAGGGAGGAAGAATAACAACGGTAGTTCGTTAATGCAACTTTGCTTCCAATTTTCGATAGCAAATAACAAGCCCGACTTCTAGCAAAGAAATTGTATTCACAACTGCTATTGATGTATTCTAGAATAGTGGACTTGAGTTTAAAAATAGGTTTTGAGGTAAGAAAATAATAATTATTGATAATATTGTGCTGAGAACAGGTCTGTTAGTGTGTTAGCATTGAGGTGGTGAGGAGAGGACAAGTAATTAACTTTCACACCTTCACTTCACTTTAACTCTCAAATCAAATCAATTCTTTTATTAATTTAGTTTAGTTTAGTTTTCATATGGTTTATTCAAGTAAACAGACAATTCTTTTATTAATTTAGTTTAGTTTTCATATGGTTTAATCAAGTAAGCAGGTAAAATGTTGTCACTTGCTAAACTATACTGATTCTGGCGAAATATGAACAGATGCTGAATTTCTTCTTCACTCCAAACTTTTTTTGCCAAGCTCGAGACTTCCTCTCTTCACACTGTTCAGTAAACCACTGTGCAGCAGTTGAATTTCTCAACGCTGCTTCATGTCGAGGTGAAGGCTGTGTAATTTCTTAGTGCAATAACTGTAACTAAACCTGCTCCACTTTCCTCTGCTGCTGGTTTAACGCCTGTCTGAGTCAAAAGCAAATTGGTGCCGGTTTCCCCGGCAGCCCTCAAGGCAATCAAAGCTTTTGTATAGTTCATAAGCTTTGTCGTATTTTAATAGAATTTTTTTTATAGTGGCTTTATCTAAATGAGTAGCTGTAATATTATCAGGGGGAATTTGTAGACCTGCCGCAGGGATATGACATCACTGGTAAAGTGTCACTTGATATTGATTTTATCATGCGAAACATGAGAATACACAGTGGCAGAAACCAACGAAATACAAGCAAAAACACAGACTATACAATACTTCATGACACCGGTGCCTCCAGATAATGAACATCATAAAGAGGGACAGCTTTGTCTGCTGTCACATTATTCTCCCCAAAGCTAATCATCAAAATGGGCAAATAGATACAAGCTAATTTATTTAGTTGTTACAGCACACGTCTTCAACTTATGTTATCATTTATCACAGGAGAGCAGTTTCACGTCCAAGAAACCACAATGTTTTTGAACGTCCTGTTATCCATGGTGATAAATCACCTGTGACTATAATGTCCTCCTAAATCTTAAGGGGAGACAATATTGGAAAATGAGAGCTCAAATATTTCCTCACTGTGTACCAGACAATAAAAGGTGTGGCACAATCATAGATAAGAATGGTACTGAGTGTTCAAAATGGAGCAAAACAAAAGTGGGTTTTAAGATCTAAAAGGTGCTAAAAGATGGCAAACAAACGGCTAACACTATTCAGATATATTTAAATGGACAAAAACAATATAGCCAAGAGAATCAAGTAGATGCTAACATGTCTGTAATTACATTAAATGAATACATAAACAACACTCAGGAATAGGTAATGGTTGGCCAAAACACATGAACTGCTACGGCGTAGCAAAAACGCTAAAGTTAGTCAAGAGGCAGACGGTTGGTTAGCAGGAAACCCATCACATTAGCCAAACTATATTAAAACTCTTAATCTAAAAACATTACTTTCTCTATTACTTTACTTTATTACTTTATTGCAGTCTGTTTTTACTCCCCGCCCACACTGAGCTCCATCAGAGGTGAATGTCCACCACTCCTTCCCACTGTAACCCAGTGCATCTCACAGACTGACCGGGATGAGAGCGGAGAATGGACTCTATATGTAAACTCCATACAGTTGTTCTCTGTGCTGCTCGCAGCTAAACCTACATAATCTCCACGTTCATTCACCCAAAATTAGGAAAATAACCATGTCAGGGTAACACAGGGTAACCTTTCAGGGTAAAGTGCGGCTCTTCGTGAATACACGAAGATGGATTCGAGCAGTTTTCCCGATAACATCTGCTCTCTGTTTGCACTCTTATGCCTGAGAGAGGAACATCGAGGGGATGGCATTTTATCACCTGAATGAATGCACCCACTCCAAAACTATGCGTGGGTGTTCTGTTGTTATTTTTGTTATTTATTTATTTATTGAAATATTCCTGTTCCAGATTTTATGGTCCGATACACACAGATATATTTGAGTGTAACCCAAATCTAGAATATCAACCCACAATAAAACACAAATATGTATATTGTTATACGTTTCTATCAAGGGTTTCCAATGAGAAAAAAAAGTCGAATATGAACTTTAGTTTTGCAATATATTTCATTAGTTATTCAGCGATCATGTGAGCAAAGTTTGTCATAAGCAGAGCAAAGCAGTATTATTATTTGTAACAATATTTTGATGGTTTTTGTTATTATTATTATTATTCACGGGTTAATTATAGTATAAAGTTGCATCAACTCACCTGTGACTGCAGCACTCCAGTGGTCCAGTCCATCCTGAGTGGCGGGTTTTGTTGAGTCCAGGTCCAGGTCCCGCTCCTGTAGCCCACCACCGGTGTTTAACCGACGGAGTGTAGGAGCAGGCGTGAGTGTTTGTATCGCTGGGCTTCGTCAAACTCACAGGAAACAGTCATGCCAACACCGGAACGTCAGAGTTTGGACCTTCAAAATAAAACAACGACGACTGAACAACGTTTTCTTCGGAAATCACTGTTTGACTCAAATACAGTTTTCTTACAATCTGACCATTTATATACTTTTATGGTCACGTGGTGAAAGAGACGTTTTCCTTACAGAAAGATCACAAGTTTCAGCACTGATAGTAACAGTTGCTTTTTCTGTATGGAGTTTGCATATATTCTTCTCCTGTGAACATGTGTTTTCTCCAGGTCTTCCAGTTTCTTTTAACTGACTTAGAAACTGAATAAATGATGTCTTTATAGGTGGAGGCGTGGGACTTGTTTTTTCAATGGCAGATAGTCAGATAGATTTATATTTTGCAGGCTTTATTTGATGATTTGTTAATCATCAGGGTCACTAACCTCTGTCCACAATTTTCCACTGCCCTGGTCATTTTGCCAAGGATTCTTGTTTTCTGGTTGGAAATATTTGCTGTACTGTACTGTAAATGGAAGCCAAAGTTGGGAAAGCCATTTTGAAATCTAAACCAGAAGAAATGAAGCGAAGATGTGAGCAGGACGTGTTGATTTACACTTGTATTTACTTAAAATAAGATAAAAGTTAACTTCCTAACCTTGAGCCAAAAGGACTTGTAATATCTGGGAATCTTACTTCAACTCAAATAGGTAAGATCAAATAATAATCTCCACATTTATATTCTGTCTAGACCTAAATATTTCTTCCCTGACTTGGACTCAACCCCCCTTGTGTATTCAACGTAACATCTCGCAGTCACTAATTACTTTTTTGTTTGCATATTCCACATGGTACGTGTATTTTATTTTGAATCAAATAAGCGGAAATGTAGTCACACGCGTCTCGCACTTGACCCGCTTGCGCCCTCTCTTTGCAGGTCCGCGGGTCCACCCAGCTCAGCAGCTCCCTCCCTCCGTCCCTGCCCTCACATAAAGACAGCCTTGTTAATCTCCGTTTCAGGACGAGTCTGTTAAAGCAGGAGGGAAACACAGCAGCCTTTCATTTGCCAAGGCAGCAGCGAGGAGTCCGGATGACTCCAAATATAAAGTCCACACGAGCATCCGTGTTCATTAAAGTGATCGGAGTTTTAATCGTCAGAGGCACAAATAGTGAAACTGCCTCCACACCAGCTGAGTACCAGTGATGGCAAAGAGAAGCTACCTTGTAAAAAACAGTACTAATGTGTATTTAGAATACACGGAAACAAAAGTTTCATAAAAACCAACATATCTAGGTCCAAACTATCTACTACCACTGAAGAGTACAACTGTTTTAAAATTAAAAACACTTCAGTTGGTACTGCAATGAGAATGAATGAAACCTTTATGAGTCCCATACTGGAATAATAAAGGTTTAATTCATGTTGATTAGCAGGAAGTTTAGTGAAGGTCAAACACTGTACCAATCAAATCCATAGATACGGAGGAAAACAGTGACAGGTCTGATCTCTGATTGTATCTGATGGTCGTTCTGTATGGAGTTCGCTTTGGTAACAACATCACCAATATAGTGCAGTAGCAGGACTCCCCTTCTGCCACTAGAAGGTTTAAGGTTTGATTCCATCTACTCCCCAGATTTCAGTTTGGATCTCAACAGAAATCCAGGGCATTACGGTGTAAAAACTAAAAGTCACTATGAGGACCTCCCCTGTGATGACCCCTGATAAAAGGATAATGTGACCCAGAGATGGAGTGGTCAAAAGTGGATGGCACCAGTTCACCCTGACTCTGAAGAAGATGAATTAAATAATGGTTTTCATGTGTCCATAAAGAGTCCTGCATTGGAAAAACAACTGCAGGAATCTCACTTCAGCTGGAGAGATGTTTTCAAGCCAGACTGAAGTACGGTAAGAACAAGAGAGACTTCAACGAAGGCACATTATTTGTTCAAGTGAGACAAAACAAGAACCCTTTGGACATAAAGTGGATTTATGTCTTGAAAGGGAAAAAAAGACAAACGAGTGAAGCCGGGACATAAAGTGGATTTATGTCTTGAAAAAGACAAACGAGTGAAGCCCAAAGAACACTATCCTCACATTGACCATGGAGGGGGCAGTGGATCATCATCAGGCTGCTTTACTGCGAATTAAACTGGGAAAGTCGAGGCTCCGGGAACTCTAAAGAAAGACGAATGTGGAGGATTTTAAAAAAATACTTCAAAACAGAAAGCTGCAGAAGAAATCAGAGGGTGGAGCCACAAGTCATTGAAAACAGAACACAAATCAGATATTTACTGGAGAAACTGGTTGGAAAAGTCCTGGAAAATGTGACACAAACTTGTTGAAAATCACCCCAGTTTGTTATTCAGCAATAACCGAACACAACCCTGTAAGAGGCTCAGAGGAGCTTACTGAAAGCTAACTGTGACCCTGGATTTTGGTATTAGTCTGGTCTGATTCTGTGTGTTTCATTTTTATCACCTTACAGAACCATTTGTGCCTGTTGTGTAAATTTGTAGCTTTTGTTTTGTTCATGTTGAGTCCAGTATTTGAATACAACACGGCTGCGTTAGATTCAAATCCTGTGGACCTGACCTGGCCATACCTTCAGGTATGTTTCATTATTTTAGGGAGGAAGAATAAAAAGTTTCACTCACCTTATACGGAGGCTCTGATCCTTGTCGTCCTGGGCCTCAAAAAATAATAACTGAAAGGCAAGCAATTGAATAATTAATATGAAAATCACCATTCTGTAGTTCAGTTCTGTTAATGCGGTTTTAATAAAAAAGAGTCTAAAATATAATTATATATGAAGACACATTAGTGATTTTAGCAACTCAAATTCGTATATAGTACAATAGTGCCCTCGTGTGGACAGAATTGGAATTCCATCTTATCAGGTGCAATTAAGCTCTACAGGTATTGACGACGCAACATTTGTTGTTTGTTGAATTGGATGGAAATTTATAATAAATGAGATCATTAATAGGTCTTACTGGTGTTTTTAAAGAATTCATATAAAAAACACAGTGGTCCATACTGCATTAGTGAAACCAATGTGTGTTTGACAGCTATAAATATGAGGCACAGATGGAGACGAGGCCTCTGTGTTTGTATCTACGCCTAAGTCCAAGTCACCGAAGAAAAAGTCAGTCCAACGTGAGCGCAGAACACGATCAACGTGTCCCTGAGAGAATGAAGACAAGTTTGGGTTCAGACTGAGTCTCTGTGGTCCATCACCATCAGGCTACAACTACAGCTCAAGAGTGACTCAAGGTCAGTGTTAAGTTTACTATAATAAAGGTATTTTTTCAGGTTCCTGTAGAGTCCAAAATGTTTCATATCTAAAAAAAAGTCACAAAATAAGGTCACTACAGAAATTGGAGAAAAGTGGTAAAATTCAGAGTTAAATATACCAGTCAAATATATGTAAGGTTTCAATTCTAAAAACAAATTTATAGCTCAACTAGGTGCAAATCCAAGTCAACTCACCCAGTTACCCGAGATGTTCCTAAGGATATTTGCTAACAGCCTTAATCAAAGAAATAAAATCAGATTCTTTAATTTTAAGTCATTTAGGATCAAGTCAAAAATCACAAATTTAAATATAATAAATACCAAATCACCGATTTTAGGACATTCATCGATGATGGTGTGCTTCCAGTCAAACTAAGGAACTGGTTGTCCATTTGCCATGAATTTTTTTTTTTTTTTTTGCTCTACGGTTTTACTTAATGTTTCTCGTTCTATGTGACCTTTAATGTTAATCTTTCTACAAAATTTCTCTTCTATTATACACAGTCCTAAAATGTAAAAACAACGGGGTGGACTCTCTGATTGACACTTGTCGTGTAACGACTATCATGGTTAAACCAATGTCTTCACCCTCGTTGGCTGTTTTTTATGTTCAAACTGAGAGCAGCAGTGTCAGCTCACACAGGGGAAACAGAAAATTAGCAGCAGGGATGATAATGTGGTGACCTGGTGGAAACATGGTCCAGTGGGGTTTCTGCCTCCTAACGAGCCAAGGGGGAATTACATACGAACCGTGGTGTGTACACTGACATGACATTAAGACAGACGTGTTCCCTTACACACAAGAAAAGAAAAGTAGGATTTAGATGTGAGAATATATATTATTATTATTATTTTCACAGTTAACAGTCTTAAAAACTCAAATATAAAAATACAGGCAGCTGAAATTAGAACTACAAGTCGGATATACAAAAGCAGGCTCTCTAGTGCGGAAATGAGAGTTTCTGACTAAGTTTGATAAACCATGTGTTTTATGTTTAATTAAAACAACAACAATATAATTGACTGCCACGTCTTTGTAAACACATATTTCTTCCATTAAGAACAAGCCTATCAGAGCCACCTCCTGGTACCATGAAGTAATCCTAGATCGAATTAGGGGGGAATTCAACAGTCAACAGCCAGTACTGTGACTTTTAACCCGCTCCAGTGGTCATTGTCAAGTGCAATGCAACATGAATAGAATTAATGTTTTTACAGTCAGTAACTGAAGAGTAACTAAATGAGTAGAAAAAAATTCTTTATAGACACTTCATTTAAAGTAAACTTTCACCATAACTGAGTTGGCTGCGCTGTTCTAGAACAAGTTGTCATGTTGCATTGTACTTGCTATGACAATCTAAGCACTGTGTAACAGTTGGATTCCATAGTTTCCCTATAAGTAGTACACCTTTGGGTTTTTTTTACCTGCTGACCTGTTGTTGAGAACAGATTTATATCTTCTTCAATAGAATTGTGGTGTTTTGTTCTGGTTCTAAAAAGAGGAAAATAAGCAGTGGTTAAAAAAGAAAACTGCTGAGTTGCAGGAACCATATATTACTTTTCTTACCAGTACTATACAGTACTACAGCACAAAAAACATGCTCAGCCTGTAGAACTTCAGTTACCTTCTCCTTTACCTGAAGAGAATATAAAGTACAGTTCCTATTTATATATCAACTCATTCTAACTATTTGAAAACTCTTAGAGATTTGGAGTCTTATTTCTGAGCCCTGTTTCGATGGTTTTTGTTACATTGAACTTAAAGTTCATAACAATGTGGTCACAGCTCAAAAGTATGAAGCACAGGTCTGATTACATGAGAACCCCTGCTGTATTTACAGACATTAGTGGTCAGTAAATACAGCAGTGGCTCAAATTTGGCTTTTCTCCAGCTTTTTACATTTTCATGAAAGCCTTTTTTTTCCATTTTGATTAAGAAAATAGAGCATTTCTTACACAAACTGCATTAAACAAGCCTGAGATTTGTCTGAAATGCATAGAATGTTTGGTTCAAACACACACAAAAATAAAACAAAACAGAGAAGGAAGTTTCTAGCCACAGAAATGCGATTTGATCGTTCACTCAAAGCTCTAATGTGAAACATAAAAGGACTTCATTTGGTGCAGCTGAGCTCTCACTGTGGTCACATCAGATGTTTTCCTCTCGTCTCTCTATTCCTTAAAATTCTGAAAGACCTCTGCAGCCTCCAACCAGGACCTGAAGCAGGACAGGCCTCGGTCCCGGATCTGTTTCCTGCCCTTGTCTGTGATCACGTCCCCGTTCTCCTTTACAATCACCAGTTTGGGCACTGCAGTGATCGTGTAGCGCTGCTTCAACTCACTGAGAAGAAGAAACAGAGACTCTTAACAAAGCAAACCAGCTGAAGACATTTAATGCACTGTCATCACTGAACTTTAATTATTTATTACTCATAAAACTGCTGAAAATTTAAACAAGGGATTCAAAAGATTATTACAATACAATGACCACCTTTTGTAGCTCCATCTGAGTCAGTACTACTGCAATAATGTGCGTTATTGGCACATTTAACATATTTGCATTTAGTTTGCATTTTAAATGTAGAAATGTTGGTGTTGAAATTTTCATCTTCACAACCCAACACTATCATTATTATTAGTAATAAACAATAATAATAATAATAAAATAGCTATCCTTTCCTACTCTCTTACTTGTAAGATTATGACCCAGCTAAAAATTGTAATAATATTAATTATTAGCAAGAATAATAACAACTGGTGGATGACAGGTTGGGAATCCTCGAACTGCTCTATTCTAGTCTTGAAGTAATAGTTAAAATATCATAATAACAAAAAAAAGTGAATATCTTCAACATCACTGTTAACTTTGATCGGCCTCCCAATAGTGTGTCAGACCAAACAAAAAACCTCCCAATAGTGTGTCAGACCAAAAAAACAAAAAACAAAACACAACCCTCCAGTTGAGAAACACTGGTTAAATCTCAAACCAAACTCTCACTCTTTAAACGTAATACTGACTGTTTGTAGTCGTCCGTCCAGGGCAGCGCCAGCCAATCACCGTGCATGTCATGATAATATTCCACCATGTCATCGCTGGACTTGTCAGAGGAAACGAAGACGATTTCAAACTGAGCCGGAGGTTCGCTCTCCTCCACCAGCTCCGTGTAGAAATCACACAGGATGGGAGTAAAGTCCCGACACGGTGGGCACCAGCCCGCTGAGAAGTAGATCCCTACTACTTTGTTCCGCAACGCCTCCTCTGGGTCAACGAAGTCCCCGTCTTTGTTGAGGAGAGTCCTCCCGGTGAACACCTCCACCATGTCTGCTCCACTTTCACTCACTGTTTTTGTCTGCGTGTCTGGAAACTTTATTCGTTGCTCATTTCCTCCCGTTCTAACGGCTTCGAGTGCTGGAATGATCCGGTTCTCTGTGGGAGACTGCCCTACTTTTCTGGACTGTTTACGCTGTCACGTATAAAAAGCTTCTTATAACCAATCCTCGTTAATCAGCCGTGGACCAATGAGGACAGCAGACGAGTGTTGTTGTGGTTCGTTAACCACATGGCCGTCAGCCGCTCAAATAACGATAAGGACAGACATGACCCTGCTTCGCGTCAACGATTCCCACTTCCGGGCTCTTCTTTGGGGGCGTGTCTTTAAAACAAAGTGCGCGTGCGTAGAACAAGCAGGGCGTATTTAGTGTTTAAAGCTTCAATGGAGATTTAAAAACACAAGTTTCGCTGTATTTATAAAATAAAGTAAGAAAACAGACATTTTAGCAAAAAATATCAAATACAGTAGATGTAGAAATATACTATATATAATATTATATTAAATATAAATGTATGTGTGTACATATATTGCATATATATTATATATATATGGTTGTTTTTAATTAACAATTCAAATACAAGTGGCATAATTTCAGAATTATATGACCCATTTGAACGCTTTTACTGGAAATTCAAGCCACTAAAACACACTTAAGTTTCAACAGTGACAGCTCTGTCTGTCGAGGCAAGGGTATTTTGCGTTGCATGATAAAGTTATTGACTCCTTTGCATTTGCAAACAAAGAGCTGGTTGAAATATGGCCTTCTCTTTCTGAGTCATCTGCTCCACCGGAGCTCTCTGCTTGGTAATCCTCAACATCCATTTCTTGTTCAGCACCAGCCGCCATCCAACGACAGGCGAGAGCCTGCCTGTTAGTCAACGTTTTAAATAGTGATTTAAAATACATTTAAATAGTGGGGAATCAGATAAGATGGTAATACAAAAAATAAAAACGTACTAATACAGTACATTAAACATTCACAACCTACTACCATTATGGTAGTAATGTTTGATATTAACTTTTTGCCGATATTGTCCAAACACTTAATTTCCAATTCTGATATCAATCGATATCGGCCTGGTAATATTTATTATTTATCTGTACAAACCACTGTATGAGTATGCCATTAATTAAATGAGCTGCAATGCTGCCATCTAGTGACATTCGCTGTAATATACAGCTGTTTATCCCCCAAATTATTTTTAAGGAGACACTTCATTTGGCAAAACCCAGGCATTGCATTATCGGGTTTTCATTATCAGAGGGAAAAACAATAACAATTCTTACAGATGTTACGTAATATGCTAATATTGGGCGGATAATATCAGTCAGCTGATATTATTGGACATCCCTACACTATGATTATGATTCTAAAACACCTGACTGTAACCAAACAAAAAATTTACAAGTGCCTGTAACACCACGTTGTCACTGATATAAAGTATATACAGTATTTCATATAAAGGAATAAGTGTACAATATTTTCTATTGTTGATATTTGTATTAATCAATATCTCTTTTAGCAGGAATAAAGATGCAAGATAGTTTTTGTTTTTACTGTAATCATACATACAGGGATGTTATCAGGTTTACTAGATCTTGTAGTTATTCTGTGTGAATTCAGTCTACATTTTACGCTTCTATGTATGCGGTGTACACTTGGAGATCAGCACGCTTCCTTGTTTCCTGGTCTCTTTACAAGAGAAAGACTGAGGTCACTTGGAAGGAAACACATCCGCCCTGTTCCTGTCGAGCTCTTTGCTGTTCGTCAGTAGAGTCCGCCGCTGTGTTGAAAGACTGAAGGCGCTGGAGTAAACCAGGAATTCTTCTCTCCCAAAACAATTTCCAACAACATGACCTCAAGTTCTAATTTATCCAACATGCGGCGGCTGGTGGAACAACTGAAGCTGGAAGCCAGTGTAGAACGAATCAAGGTAAGACGAGAAAGAAGTTTCAAACAAGGTGGGATGAGATGTAAGACTGAGCTTATTTTATTTTAATTATCTTTAATATAAACATACATTTTGGATATTAAAGAATGAGCAGAGGCAATCTACCAGGTCACCAAACACGTTTAATTTCTTATTATTTAGTTTTGTTTTGAACACACCTTACAATTAATAAATATTAGTTAGAACTTGTTAGAACTTGACTAAAGCTTTCACCCTTAGGTTTGAAATTCAAACTTTCATAGTTTTTCAGCAACAAATCATCTGCAAAGAATTTTTAAATACAAAATAACTATTGCTACAGCGATAAAAATCAAAACTATTTCTTTACTGATTAATAAAATCCTACTTCAATTTAATTTTAGGCAAATGGCAGATGGCTAAATTTTACCATCGGCTGATAGATTTAATCTGCAAAATGTTTATAAATTCACTGATAACTCAACTCTATTAAATTCCCAAATTATTAACATAACATAACATCAATTCCCTGACAGTTGTCGGTACAATTCCCATGTGTGTGTGTGGGTGCCAGGTGTCTCAGGCAGCTGCGGAGCTCCAGCAGTACTGTCTGCAGAACGCAGGCAAAGACGCCCTGCTGGTCGGCGTCCCCACGGGCAGCAATCCCTTCAGAGAACCACGCTCCTGTGCTGTGGTGTGACATCATCGTCCACAGAATGTGTTCAGCCATCGACGTGAGTGATGTAATAGTAATAAACCATCAGTTTCACTATTGAGGTCATATTAAATATATATATATATTTGCCCTTCTTTTCAGAGGAAGATAAACTGGACAAAATGTGGAATGTCACTCCCCCAGAAAAAAAGTGCTGTTTTTTTTTTTTACATATTTACATGAACATTTAAAGAATGGTGAATGTTGTAACTGTTATGAAACTTGTTCCATTTCACCAGAGTAAAGGAACTATTTTAACTACAATAATGATGCTTGAGGTATGTAATTTTCTTTCTGCTTAACAAAGTTAAAAAAAAAAAAAAAAAAAAAAGCAGGCAGAATATATGGATTATACAAAGCGGATGTTTATAGCCAGGCACTAAATTACACCCTGGAATCTCACGGCGTCAACGCTTCCTGATGTTCAGACTGAGTTGGGCTCAGAGCCAGAGAGAGCCAAAGGAAATGAAGGTTTCCTGTCCACTCAGCTCATGGTTAAATTCCACTCAGACTTTTTAGCATTTGAACTCATTTAAACAACACACAGTTTCTAAGTTGTGGTTCAAATGTGGTGAATCTGGTAATTAATGCTGGTTCTGCAGGAGTGAACCAGAACATGAGGTAATCATGGTTAATTACGTTGATGGTATATTAATATACTGTTGGTCCTCTTTCATATGCAGTACTTGGTGCAAAGACGCTGACGCTCCAGGAAAAACACAATCAGCTGAACACAGGTCTGGGCCGTCGTTTGGTAACTCTCACTTCCTTTCTTCTGGTTTGTCCCAGTATGGTGACAGACAGACATGATCTGTGTGTTGTATTTTTGCATTTCCTGGATATTTCCTGTTCTCCAGGCTGAACAAGTTTACTGACTGACTGTGTTGATACTTAACAGCCTAAACAGATTAAAAGTAATCATGGACCAAAGTACTGCAAAAAAAAAAAATAAATAAATAAATAAATCCATCAATCCAGAAACAGAATAAATCAAGAGTCAATTATACTTTTATAATGCAATTATAAAAATACATATTAAACTACAAAGGTATAAAAAATTCAAATAAAATAAAACTATTATAGTTATAAAAATAATATTATATTGCTGTAAAACCAACGCTAGAGTTAATGTATTGGTGTAAACTACTTTTGCATGCATACAGTACAATGTGGTGAAACATATATTCAAAGTTTAATAACTGATATTAATAATAATGATAATGATAATAATAATTCCAAATTTAGAAAGTAAATTGTCCACAAATTATACTATTGTGATATACTGTATGTATATACAATAATACACAAATATAGAAAATTGTTTCTCAAATTAGTGGAGAAAATAATCTAATTCTAATTTTTTTATTATTATTTATTCATTTTTTAGATTCCAATAAGTCCTTAACCTTTTATGAAAGTCTTTACCAAAACAAATCAAAGTCTGACCAAAGAATTTTGCTTTTTTTTTTTCATCTGGACAAACTCTTCCCTCTGTCTGTGAGCCCACACTAATTCAAGCACTTCCTGCTGTTCGACTCCTCATCAACACAGTACACTGGTCAAAGTCACCCACCCTGTAAACCACCTTTGGTTTCTGACATGACTGTTATGCCTGTTTGAAGTTTTCCTTCAGCTGCTCAGTATAAAGTCGTCAATATTACACAGACTTGTGGATTTATTTATTCTCAGGGACTGGAATTTTTATAACCATCACATGGTCTCTGATTCCTCCTGATTTTCTCCGACCATGTTGTCCCAGACGTATTATTTACTAGCGGAGGTGTGGGTTTAGGAGTAGTGGACCAGAACAGTGCAGCTCACATGGTTTCATTAAATGACATAGTGATAAAGTAACTACAGACAGACAGTACTCTGAAACCTGCTCTGTCTTGTGTTGTCTTACTACTATCTTTGTTGTTTTTTGAAACAGTCTTTCGTGACTGTTTTGGTGACTTTCTTGCTTTTTTCACATTGTATGGATGTAAGGATTTCTGGATGGATGGATGGATGAATTAATGAATGTGATCTGTGTGGAAAACAGTATAATCTTGTAGACATAAACCACATTTAAATAAAAACATTAATGGAAGCATAAATGTCATATGGTAAAAAAAACCACAGCTTGAGCTGAATTTCCACTGAGTCAGACTGTGTCAGCATTCGTTTTCAGTTCCGGTGAACAGCAGAACTTCAATAATCATCATCAAAAATCAGAGTTCATCAGAAGAAGAAAAAAGAAAGTGTTCGTCGATGCTTTGCTGCTGAACAGTTTTTTTATGAATGAGAAAAGACACCAGTCAGGTAATCTTTTTTTTTTATTATTATTTTCTTTTTGGAGGAGGAAACCACCTGAGCTGCCTGAATGGAATTCTGTTTTCTCACGGTGTGGGCGGGGAGCAGGGAGTAGAGTTGGGTTTCAGTTCCAGCCCCTTTTCTATTCTCTCTCACTCAGTCACACACAGAAACTCAGTGTTGCTGCAGCCTGGTCACAGGGCAGGAGCCACCGGGAGCTGAATGAGGACGTCGGATTGGCCTCAGACTTTTCTGCCTGATTACGAGCTCAGCTTCCATCAATGAGTAGCCACAACATCACACGTCACACGGAGAACTTTCCCGACTCGTCCGCACCCTTTCCAAAGGCCATTCACCTTTGATAAAGGACTGAACCGGTTTGACGTCTACTTGACAGTCACACTGAACGTTCATGTGTCGGATGAGTATTTTTTATCAAATGAGGAAATGGCCAAGATGTACAGACTGTGTATAGGAATTATCACAGGTAACGTTGACTCTCGTTGTTTCCTTTACGTAAGTCTTAACTAAAGTCCAGGTTTTACCTCCTTCAACATTTGACACCAGGGCTGGTTGGTTCAGTAATATTTAATCATTTATCGTATACTGAATACACAACAGATCCTTGTACTGTACTGTACTGTACTGTACTGTACTGTACTGTACTGTACTGTATGCCATCCTCAGGCTGCCTTCAAGGTGATGTTTGCAAATGATTGCAAAAGCCTTTTAACACACCGCCAGCGGTTGTTTTCTCTGCTGGTGACACACACTCTGAAGTATCACAGTATTAACTACTTGACTGCAGACAAACACAAGAGCTGAACCAGGTTTCAGAAAAAAATCTGTGTCAGCAGATCTATATGTGTAAAGTTGGCCTTGGTGTTAATGACGTTGGTTAATGATTGAATGAAGACTGCATGCTGCTAATACCAAGAATCCCATCATTGGGATTGGTTGGTTACACATTGCTGTCAAAACAGACCACTCCAGTGTGACATTACAGGAGGTTGAGAGAATGTATCACTCATTCTTAAGAAGTATTTTTTTTTTGAGCATAACTAGAAATTGCTGCCATCGACCGAGGCTGACCAGTGTGTGTTTGTGATGTGAAATGTTGTTTGTGGATACAGCGTTGGCCTTCTGCAAATACTGCCTCGCAGAGGGGAACACCACGGTGGAGTCGACCAACCGGACCGTGGATCACTGTCACCAGAATGGCAGCAGAGACAACTGCACAGGTATTTATGGCTAATAAAACATTTTTTTACATGTGTTATTACATCAGTCCGTTGAGGGTTTTCCAAATATCTGTGTGAACGGAGTGAGAAAAACGAACAGGGAATTTGGGGCAAAAACAGGCTGAAAATGAAACAGGAAAGGTTCATCTGAGCCGAAGAACTCCTCACACAGCAAAACTGCTGACCTGGCAAACTTACAGCAACAAATTACTGGCTTTGATTTGCCTCGTCAGGTACCGTCATTATGGGCGATACCTGCCAACCCAGACTGCAACTAACATTCCAACGTTCTGGATGACCAAATGCTGACCCTTGATAGAAAATAGTTAATTTTCTACCCTGTTATAAACATTAGTTACATTCCAAATAGTTAGGACATGTGAGAAAGTGTTAGAAGTATTGATCTGTTGAAACAAGATCACTGATATACAACATTTCGCTACATATTTCTGTAAGCATCGATCTATCAATCTATCTATCTATATATATATCTATCTATCTATCTATCTATATATATATCTATCTATCTATCTATCTATTTAGCTAGCTAGCTAGCTCGCTAGCTAGCTATTTATGTAGATAGGTGGCTAGATAGATACAGTAGCTAGTTTGTTGGATAGCTATCTTGCTTCTTTAAAAGGATTCTAATTTGTAGTTTAACTTTGACATTGTCAGTAGCGTACCTTAGAGCCAAATAATAACTAATGAAGTTTTCATTAACATCCTATTGTATAAAACCAACTTTAGAAAAGGTACATTTTTAATAGAGTTAATATAAATCTGACCGGGGGCTGTTTAGCTAATCTACTTAGACTTACATGGAACCCAAGCCCTCACTAACAAAAGCTCCTGTTACATTTCATATTGTAATTTTTAATTGTAACATTTTTCAACAAAGACAAAGGTAGAGTGTACAACAGCGCGTCCCATGCGGTTACGTTTGTACTTCGCGGCCACCTGTTTTCCTTTTTAGCAACGAGGTCATGGCATTCAGCCAGCGTTGGCGTATCAGCTTACAAACGAAGCGCTCTCGTTGATGTCACCTGAACCACAGTATTGTTTTACAGGCCTGTGTTCTCACTGAAACTCATTGCTGCGGGTTGTAAAGATAGAGGCGGTCTGTGACACAGGCATGGCGTGTGTTTTACTGTGTGTTTGTGTGGAAGAGGAGAGAAAGATGGACCGATCTGTCCTAATTTACAAAGAATCACATTTATTATTCATGTAAGCTGGTGTCACTTGGCATTTGCCAGCGCCGGACACACAGGCATCCTCCAAAGATCCTTTTACAAACAGTCTATTTATATCCGGCCACAGCAGAAGGTGAGGTGTAAGTTACTGAAGCAGGGAGATGAAACCTGGAATATCACAGATTATCAGTTCAACTCACCAGGACGTTCACTTTTCACCATGATAAAAAACTTTGATAAATAATTATCATCGGCTACAACGACCACTTTTAGCTCCAAACCTACAAACGCTACTCATCGAAACTCTTCTTTTTCTACTGCTGTTTTCAGGGGTCACCACCACAACAGATCGCCCCCTATCTGTTACTTCTACTGTTACACACACACCTTCCTATTGCCCTCTGCACTACTTCTGTGAACCCTATTAACTGCCTGCCTGGCACCACTTGTTCCAAAGTCCTTTGACCAAACTGAGACATGATTTCTCTTCTCCACAGTCCGACCTTGTCCTCTCCACATTCTCTCTACTTTCAGTCTGGGTTCAATAACAATCGTCAACTCAGCGTCTTCAAATCGTCCATCTCCAGCTCAGCCTGTTGTCCTTTAGACCAGGGGTCACCGACCTTTTTGAAACTGAGAGCTACTTCAAGGGCACTTAGTAATACAGAGAGCTGCTTGTTTAATACAGACTTGACAAACACTGTAATAATAATCAGTTCTGGGACAGACAATGGCAGACACTCACCATTGTCATTGCACCCATTTGAATATCACTGCAAGTGGAACTGATTCAGTCTTGACTTGGAACTGACTTGACCCTGTTGTTGACTAGTTTTATTTTTAGAACATAACCCTGGTAATCCATGGGGGCTACCAGGTGACCCCGGGCTCCACGGTGGTGACCCCTGCTTTAGACAATGACCTTTTCAGACTGAGAAAGAGTCTTGTCAACAGTGGCAGTCAACAAACAGCCTCATGTTTTATTACTACAAATACTTTAAATAATACAGTGGTAGAAGTACTTATATACTCATGGGATGTCTTCAGGGACAGTATTTACCATTTTGTAATATTCCTGATGAGGGGTGTTTGATGGGAAATTGACTGTGTTGAATGTGCATTTTTGTAGTATTAAGTATTGTAGTATTCTTCTCTAACAGATACAGAGCCATGGAGCGGTCACTTTTCAGAATGTCCACAACAATTTGAGTTCTACTGTGTCCATGGCGACTGTCGATACGTCAAAGACCAGGAGACTCCATCTTGCAGGTCAGAAACACAAACTGTTTTAAAAAAAAACTTGCAGGTCAGAAACACAAACTGTTTTTAAAAAAAATGAATTATTGAATTATTGAAGTACCACCGGCTTTACATGTACCATGGTTTGAGAACCACCGGGCTAAAATATTAAATTTACAGTTAATTTTCACAGCCATTGTTATAAACCTCACTCTCCTGCCGTCTTGGTCCCAGGTGTCACCACGGCTTCATCGGCTCCAGGTGTGAGTACGTGGACTTGGGGTTTCTGAGAGGAGAGAAACGTCACATCATCATCGCATGTATCGTCACAGGACTTCTCCTCCTGATTCTTCTTCTTGGGTTCATCTGCTTCTGTTCACGGTGAGCCTTGATTCTTTCTTACTCATGCAGTGTGAATCTATGGCCGTGATCGTCACTCCTGCTGCTGGACTAGAGCTTTCACCCACAGCCACCATCTCTGGCCCACACAGCTGTCTGTCCCAGTCACACCACTCCATAAGCATGTCCTCTATGGGAGATTAGTGTTCAAATCCTGACCTTCCAGTGGGAAGGCGACCTCTCTTTTCATTGATCCACAGCTGCCAACACAGCTGCTGAGACGCTTGGCAAGATATAGAATAGGGAACTGATTACACTCACTGATTATTTTTGTCTCTTTTTCCTAAAAAGTAAACCGTGTTAATTATACCCTCACGTACCAACAGCAACGTTATTTTGTCGACTGATTATTTTTTTGTCAAATCCAACGACAAAAACTAAACCGGAACCTATGTGGGGCTATATAAAAATGAAATGTACCAATGCAATGGTCAACTAATAAAATAAAACAATGTTGCGCTGGTTTTATCATAATTAGAGGACCAATCAGGGCCATGTTTCAACATTTTAACCTTTAATCCCAACAGGGTCAGAGGTGTACAGCTCTACAGAAAAGCCAGCTCTGGTTGACTCTTCTGCCACCACAGATTATGTATGTCCAGTAAAATCAACAACTTTTTTCTAGGGATGTCGGGTAATATCGGCTTGATATTAGCATAATTGTGTAATATCTGTAAGAAAACCCGATTACGCAATGTCTGGGTTCCGCCAAATGATATGTGCCCCAAAAAATAGTTTGGGGGAAAAACAGCTGTATGTGAAAGTGAAAGCCACTAGATGGCAGTATTGCAGCTAATTCTATTAATCATATATAATTATAAACATTATTCCTTTGTTTTTAGGCGAAAATCCAGATTGTGTTGGCAGAAACGAAGACGCAGGGAAGCACCAACAAACGGTTCAGAGAAGCTCAGCATGATGGATACCAGAGCCGCGCACGCCGCGCTGACAGCGGACGCCAAAGAACCGCCTCTCACAGACACGGTATGAGCAGTGACGGGCTCATTGTTCCTGTGCGAGTCTGGAGATCATCCACGATAATGGGAAGTGTGAAGATCTGAGGGACCTCGTCCTCCGTGTGACAGCTGCTGCCTTTGGTCTCACAGTAGGGACACTGAGCAGTTAGACACGCCTCTGCTGGATGGTGAGGACACCCGGGGGATGAAACAAGCCCACCGCTCCGGAACATCAGGCAGAATCGTCTGTTCTTGGAGGACAGATATGTTGACAACTGAGGTTCGTGGAAGAACGCACTCCTGGGTCGGATATAAACATGAAGTGGAGATCAATGTGACACGATGGCTGTGTTATGGCAGGAATTCAATTTTCCAACACTGCGAAGTGGAGTGCAGTTGAAGCCACGCCCACTGAGTGCCAGGCTCTGTGTAAATCAGCTGTCTCTGTTTTGGAAAAACATGTGACAACAGCTGAGAGTCAGTGATAACAGTGGAGGAGCTACTGCTCTGGAATGTATGTACACACGACCCATCAAGATGCTGCACTGCATGTGAAAATACAGTAGACGACCAGCAACTACAGCACAGGCTACTGTAGCTTAGGCTGAGGTTTTTATTTATTTATTTATTTTTTTTGCGATTTCCAAATCACAACCACAAACCAAAAGCCTCGGCTGCATCTGAACTAAAATGTAGCTACTTGTCAACTTTAGTAATGCAATAAACAGCCTCACATATATATGTGTGATCGCAGCCCAATCCTGTGAGTGGGGAGAGGACAAGGAGAAGTTGTGCAGGAGAAAAACATCTGTATATTTGGAGCCGAGCATCGTCTGAGCTGCAGGCAGAACAGCTGAGCCAGTGTGTGGAGGATCAACTGAGGTGAAAGTGCTCCACTGTATCAGACTGTCAGTCCTGCACTGGTCTGTACCTGTGTGTGTGTGTGTGTGCGCGTGCGCTGACTCTACGTTTAAATGTGGATGCAGGAAAGTTAGGTCACTGATGCCTGCAGCTGTAAGTAATAAATATACGTATATTTTCCGTGTGTGTGTATTCCATGAACATTTGCTTAAAGAATCCAGTATGATCCAGTATGAAAAAGGATTCGCTCCGTGCATCTTCAACTTCTCTGAGTCACTGTAGGGCTTTCCAGGAATTTTAAAAGGTCAGTCTGTTGGTCGGACTTAAAATTCAGGGCCATTTCTGGCCCACAAACTCCCAACATGTGGCCCACAACTAGATGTCATTCATAATTACATGTTGCCCTTGAGGTCATTTATTATCTTCATCTTAAAAAATGCTACTGTAGTAGCACTGCCCCCTCAGCTCATTTGAGTTTGAGAAGACTGATGTAACATGTGATATTTGAAGAGATTTTAATTCCACCTCAGAACCAGCAGAGGGTGACAAAGAAGACATACCTAAGACCTTTAGGTTGAATCAAGGAGGGGGTGGACGTCTCCACGGTATGACTTCTAGTTTGATAATAATTTTAGAACACACGGTATGACTTCTAGTTTGATAATAAGGTTAGAACAGTGCTGTAAACAAGCACATATTGTTGACTGAGATCTCAATCATGGCGAGCTGTCGGTCAAGAGATGATGGTCGTGAACGACACGGCTTCCTGTAGAGTACAAGATGAAAAGGGTTCTATTTTGGGAATGCCAGTTTGGGAGGAAAGTCCCTGGAGATACTGATGGTGTTCCATCTGCCTCAGAGGAGCTGAGGAGGGGGTATAAAGAGAGGCTTCTGCCCCCACAACTTGGACATGGATAATGTAAGCTGTTTAGTACTGCAGCTGCTCCTGGTGGTTGACTTGCATCATTGTCACTTACAGAGTCTTTCATCATCGTTTAGACTCAAAACTGACCCGGCCATCGACCAAATAACACAAAAAGGACAAGGATAAAAATAGGACCGAAGCAGAGACGCTGCACACTGCTATTGTTTTTGTTTGAATTTCTGCCTCATTTTCACACAAAACTGTCCACATAAATGAACCGACTTCACCCATGAAATATCAAAGCAGATTCCCACATTCCGTCATCCAGTGAAAGAAGCTTAGCTTAGCCGAAAGCTGGGTTCTAAAGCTGGTTCCCATAGGAACCATTGCTGTGGGCTATTTAAATCTTCTCTCAGTTGACTTCAGTTTACAGCAACACTGCTGACTTTTACTTCTCTCTAATCTCAGATTACCCTGGAAGACATTTCCAAATATCTCCGTCCACCTGAACGACCGGCTCCACGCCACTGTCCATAGAACATAATTATATTCACAACGTTTCATCTCAAATAAATGGAGCAGAAATGTTCAGATGTAGTCCAGTTCAGGTGACTGGACTTTGCCTTCAGTTTTATGATGTTTTCCCGTTGCCATGGAGATGTATAAACAGTTGGAGACAGCAGCAGGGAAAGGAATTCCAGTTTTAGGTACGTGACTCTGTCACGTCATCACACACTTATCTCCACTTATCTTCCTGTCATTATTATCAAAGCAAATTTAAATATAACCCCTTTGATTTGATCTGACTGATAACAAACATAAGGCTCACAGTACATTCATGGACAGTGTTACATGGATGACACAACAACAGTGTTGTTTAAACCTGAATATTCCATGATAGAATATGAATAATGAAAACTGAGAAACCTGAGCTTTTAACTTCAGATGAAGTTCAGCTCAGCAACAGCGCCATCTAACATTAACTGTCGTACCAGCTGAAGACACAAAGCAGCAAGAACATTTTGGTTACAGAATTGCTGTACGGCATTTTTACTACGTGTGCAAAAAACAAACACAAAAAGCAGGTTTTATTCTTTATAAACACAATCACAAAAACTGTTCAGTGATCCACACCAGTCCATGAACAAATTCACTGACCATTACCACATGTTGTTACTGTATGTAACAGTAGTGGAGTCATTCTCATTTCTTGTTATTCTTTTTTTTCTATGGTGCCACCTAGAGACGTCTCATTATTAATAGCAATAAATAGATTTATTTTATGTAAAAAAACATGTAATTATTTCACTATGTATTTCATTATTTCATTTTTTATTTTTAAATAAAATGAATTGGTATTTTTTTTTTGTTAAAGACACATTTGAGCAATTATTTAATGATTATTTATTTATTGATTTCATGTTGGCACTTTCAGTCCTCCATATGTTCGTTCGACCATGAAGGTTTTTTGCAGTTTCAAAGTGACTTTTGTTTTTAATATTGAATATATTTATACTTTTTTAAAATTATTTTTTAATGATTGAATGACTTTGTTACTATTTTGCCACATAAAAAGACGGAAGTGTGGAGAGATTGGGGGCGGGGCCTATTTGGGGGAGGGAACCAAACAGGCTAGGATCGCTACTGGATAAAAATAATACTAGTTATGATGAAGAAAAATACAGTACCAGATGTATTAGCAGACAAATCTATATACAGTATATATACATCTGTAGAACCTTGGGTTGTATCGGTGCCCCCTGGAGGTGCTGCAGTTCATACACATTTTCAATCAATAATGTGCTGATAGATGAGTTTGTATTTATTGGTGTTTAACTTCCTCAGGGAAATTTAACATCACATGCGGCTGCATTTATTTTTGCCAATTACTGACTCATATTTAACTCTGCACCTGATTGGTATGCGTCTGGAGTTCGTCACCGTGTTTTCCTTATGGCTGTGTCAAATGGTTTAATTTCAAAGTCCGCAGCAGGTTCATATGCAGCAAATTTTCCATGACGGGTTCATGAAAATTGTAGTGGGAGAAAAAGCCGTTCAGTAATGAAGTGACGGAGAGCGGTGGTGTTGGGGCTGCACTTCTCCTGCTGTGTTTAGAATAAAGGCTCTCTGATCTAATAGATGTGATGTCTTGTTGTTGTTGAAGAGACACAGTCAAATCTCCTGCATTAACCCACACTGTGCTGCCATTGGGCGAAACAAAAACCATTTGTGCTGAGTCTCATTGATCGATGCTGTTCTGTAGACTTTTCCAAATCAAACTGCGTTGACACTTTTCATTTTGTGTCAAAACATATTTTTCTGGCACTGAAAAAAACCCAAAACATTATCAAAAAGCTAGAATAGTAATTTATCTATGAATCCAGCAACAGTAACCTGTTAAAATGTTTCCCTGAGGCAACGATGTACTGCTGTGGAGATTTACATACGTTGCCTGGAGGCAGCAGTGAACCATTATGGAATCACCATGGCAGCAGGACATTATGGTAGAGTGTAATCAGGGAGGTAGTGTGTGTAATGGTAAAAAAAAATTCTAATTATTTTAACTTTAGATTTGAGCAAAGGAGAATTTGTCACGTTGTGCCGTGAAGTTCAGACTTAAATTGACATTTTCCACTTTTATTTCACCTTAAAATGATTGAAAATTGGCATTTAACAACAATGTTGTGCTTTGCAAATGGTTCTAATCTAATGTTTTTGATTTTAATTTGAAGTAGAAAATGGGCTGTTCTCACAATTAGTTCAAATACACTTTACTGTACTCTGATGAAGGAGCTGTTACGTAAATTGTATGCAAGAAATTATGTTAAATATTATTTTTAAAAAAAGACCAAAGCTGATTCTCAAGGAAGGAAACAGACGGATCCTCAGGAACTTCTAATGTTCCACCTGTCCGTCTGTGGACAAGAACAGCACTCCAGACAGAAGCGTTGGACTCTTACTGCAGTTTGTGTAGTTCTGAATAAATCCACTAGAGGGCAGAAGAGAACCACACTCTCGCTGATACTGGCGCAAATAGACACGGAAGCTGGAAAGTAGCGGGGTCGGGGCGGGAGGGGGGTTGGCGCGCGGGGGGATGGGTGGGGCTGGGGGTGGAGGGGGTCGGCAAACCTGGGTCTATTAGACGATACTTTATTTTTAAACGTAACTTTAATCAAACATTCCCCAGTGATTGTTGTTGTCAGACAACACTGAGATTGAAAATACTTTCATTTTCCAGGCACAGCATGTGTACAAATGGCAGGACTTTCACGTATTTAAAATGATTAAAGATGAGAAAAAAATAAAATGTAAAGCAAAACAACAAGGTGTGTCAACATATGATACAAGGTCGATGAATGTACATATTTTTATACTATATATATACATACATAGTATCAAATATATATGGTATAAAATGTGTATGTATATATGTATATATATAGTGTATATATATATATATATGTATATATATAGTGTATATATATAGTG